CCTCTTCTTCTTCTTCTTCTTCTTCTTCCTCTTCTTCTTCTTCTTCTTCTTCTTCTTCTTCTTCTTCTTCTTCTTCTTCTTCTTCTTCTTCTTCTTCTTCTTCTTCTTCTTCTTCTTCTTCTTCTCCTCCTCCTCCTCCTCCTCCTCCTCCTCCTCCTCCTCCTCCTCCTCCTCTTCCTCCAGTCCTTATCTATGTAATTTTTCAGCAACAATTTTCTATTGCCTTCCTTTTTCGAAAATGTCAGTTCTAGTTGTGCTTTCTTCCCCAGGAAAATTATTAGGTGGCTCCTATCCAAGGATTAACCAGGTCTGACCCAACTTCCCGGTTCAAATAAGGCTCTTCCTCTGCTACTAAGGCAGAATATAGCAGAATAATGGAATTGGAAGAGACTTTGTAGGTCCTCTTGTCCAACCTCTACTAAAGAGGAGACCTTATACCAGGGTTATACCACTGGCTCTTGGCCAGTGGGCTGCGGCAACAGCTGGCTGGTATGCACACGTGTGAGCACGCATTTCCCCCCCCCACTCATGACAGCACCCGCAGCCCCATTTGCGCATGCACGCAGGTGTGAACAGGGATGCTAGTGTGGGGCGGGTGTCTGTAGCCTGTTTGCGCATGCACCGCTAGCTGCCATGGGGGTGCGTGATTGTTCTCACATGCACAAAGCACCAGGGCATGTCACATGCGCAAACGGGTCTGCTAGTGCCGTGGCAGTGTGCGTGGCTCCGTGTGCGCACACATGTGCATGCACACCAATTTTGAAGCTGCTCTCTTTCCCTCCGGTCCTCGAGCCCAGAAAGATTGGAGACCTCTGCCTTATACCCTACTATTCTGGACCATACTATTCTTCTTAAAAGCCTCCAGTGATGGAGCACCTACAACTTCTGGAGGAAAAGCCATTCCAGTGATTAATTGTTCTCACTGTCAGGAAATTCCTCCTTAGTTCTAGGTTGCTTCTCTCCTTGATTGGTTCCCATCTGTTGCTTCTTGTCCTGCCTTCTGGTGCTTTGGAGAATAGCTTGACTCCCTCTTCTTTGGGGCAGCCCCTCACATATTGGAAGACTACTATCATGTCACTCGTAGTCCTTCATAAAACTACACATAGCCAGTTCCTGCAACCGTTTGTCATGTTTCAGCCTCCAGTCCCCTAATCATCTCTGTTGCTCTTCTCTGCACTCTTTCTAGAATCTCAAGATCTTTTTTGTATTGTGGCAACCAGAACTGGACGCAGTATTCCATGTGTGGAATACTTGACAGGCCACAGGGACATTCGGTATTCTCCAGAGATAAAGTTCTGAGCAAAGAAATGGGCTTGTTCTGCTCCTTGAAGCTAAATGCGTTGCTTTTCTATTTATTTCCAGGCCGTGCAGCTTTTCTCGATTCAGACGTGCAGAAAGTGCTCAGAAATCTGGGGGAAAGGATCATGAAGCTTGAAGGAGGTACGCTGCTTGGTTTTCCTATTCCTAAATTTACAGAGACCAAATGACACCTGTAAAACAAATGCCTTCTCCCCTGAGTAGCTTCCATGACGGGCAAAAAAAATGATATTTTTTGAAAAGGGACGGTGAGATAAGATTCATTTCCCCTAAAACCTTGCCTTCATTTGGTTTCTCCATGGCTTTTTAAGTAGGAAGTTTTGCACTTGCATTTTCAAACATAAAAGGAAGAGAAATATTCATTTTTCCTATTGGGAAATCGGAGGTGTAACCATTGTCCAAACCAAATTAAATAATTAAAGTCCAAGCACAATTTTAAGCTCAAAAATAGTTGAATAAAGGTTTGGAGGTTGAGTGCCCTGGGAAGCTTTTGGTTTGGACTGTTGTGTTTTTTGTTTGTTTGTTTGTTTGTTTGTTTGTTTGTTTGTTTGTATTAATCCATGTTCGTTTCGATAATTTTGATTTTAATTTTTCTATGGTAAACCTGCAAAAAAGCAGCATGGGGACCTAGAGGTAAAGCTCTCACCTCACAATCAAGAGGCTGTGAATTCAATCCTAAATAGAGGCAGATATTTTTCTCTCTGGGCAAA